CATTAGGCCTGAGCGGCCCCCTGGGAGATCACAGACTGAGGTGGAGAAGGCAGGGGAGGGACAATTGGTCAGTCTTGGCAATGCTGAGTTTGTGATGCCTCTTAGACATCCAGCAGATACCAGGTTCAGGAACCAAATCTGCTTGTGGCCACTTGGGAGGGCGATAGGGGCTAGGTGGCATTTTCAGCCAAGACGAGCCTGGGCAGCGTATGGGATGTGCACATAGAGGCTGGAGGAGGGAGAGTGACAGGGCCGCCGGAGAGGGCCCCTCAGGCCTGGAGGACTCACAGAGGAAGGCGAGGACCAGCCAGGGCCTCCATCAGAGCTGCTGGGAGGGTGGTGGGCTCAGAAGAGCCCTAAAGGGGGCTGTGGGGGGAATGGGAGGTGACATTAAGTCATCTGCTTCAAGAAAGGCTTCTGCACTTTACCCTCCAATGTCACTGTCCATCTTCGCAACATTCCTATGAAGTGAGTGTTATTTCTCTACATTTTATGGATGCAGCTCAGAGAGGTTAAGGCATTTTTCCGTGGCCACACAGCACAAAAGTGAAGCACTTTTAAGCTTTCTGGGATCACAGTCCCTTCTGAGGATCTTATGAATGCTATGATCCTTCTCAGAAAAATACACATATGTGCACACTAGTTTTAAAACTTTCTATGTGTCTTTTTTTTCTGTAGGTAATACATTCATATGGTTCTAAAATTAAAAAGACACAACGGGAATACAGTGAGAATTCTTCCTCCCACCCTATCCCCAGCCACCTGCTTCCCTCCCCGGAGGCAGCCAGTGTCACCAGTTTCCTGGGTCTCCATCCGTAGACAAGCACAGACAAGCAAACATGTGTATCTATAAATTTCCTGCTCTCCTTTTTTTTTCTACACAAACGGTAGATACTACACTCGGTGTTCATCACTGTTGCCTTTTTTTCACTTAAAACACATCTTGAAGACCCACATCGCTCCGTCTAGGGCTCCCTCCTCCTTTTTTTCTGGCTGCGCGGTGAACCATTTGGGGATGGGCATCAGGCTGCTTCTAGGCTGGGCTGGGCACACAAGGCACCTGGCTCCTGGTGGGGTCCCAGGAGTGTACACAGGTGTCACAGGCAACCCCACGGCTCTCCAAAGCCACCGAGGGCCTCCCAGAACAAGGGAGGGAGCGGGCCTGGCCCTTAGCTGATCCCCCTTCCCCACTCCACCCCCACGCCCGACACCTCTTCTTAGGTGCAGCCTGTGGGTCTAGTAAATCCAGGGACTCCTGTGGGAGTGGGAGCAAGGGGCATCAATCCCCTGTCCCCAAAGCTCTGGGAGACCCTCACCCCACCAGCTGCCCCACCTCCTGTAGCCCTGTTTGCCGAGATGCCGAGGCCAAAGCAATGTGGGCGGGGGGTGGAGGGACTGTGATCTCTATGCTCACCGCCAGACTCGGGAGGGCAATGGTGGGCTATGTGGAGGTCACCTCTGCTCTGGCCCCTTGCTCACCCAGCTATCCCCCTACCCCAACACCTCCCCTTCTCCTCTGCTGTGAGGAGTCCCCGCCCTGTTGGGCCAGGGAGGGAGGGCATCCACATGGAGGAGGGAAGTGGGCTGGGGTGGTCTGGGCTGATCAGGACCAACTGGGCATTTCTGCTAAAAGTCCCTGCTCCCTGGCCTCAGGGCCCGTTGTCCTGTTTCTCCTCTCTCTGCCGCTTGGCTTCCATCTGCTGTGCCAGGCTCCCCTCCATGTGCGGATGCTGGGGGCTGGGTCTGAGGCCCTCTTCTCAGCCAGCATTCATACCCAGGTGACCCCGTCTACTCTCACAGCTGAAAACATCATCCCGGTGTTCAAGGTCTAACGGGTCCAACTCCGCCCAGACTTCGGGGCCTGACATGCCTGGACATCTCCATCTGGACGTTCCAAGGCCACCGCACGCTAGAAAATGTCTCCCCTTAAGCCTGGTCCTCCTTCAGTGTCCCACCGTCACCTACTCCTGACACCCCCTTTCCCAACCCGCCCATCCAGTCCACCCCAACCCTGTGGCTCTCTGTCAGGATGTGCCCCGAATCCCTTTCCTTCTCTTGAGCTCGACTGCCACCACCCTGGTAGCTCCAAGCCGCGATCATCGCTTGCCTGGGCGGCAGGAGAGCCCCCTTGCCAGCCTCCACTGCGTCGGACACATCTTAGCCAAGTGCGTACATCATGCTTGGACAGTGAGGCCTCCCAGGTGCCACTGGGGCCACATTGAGGAGTTTTCTTTCTTAAGCCTGGTGGCAGGTACACAGGGGTCTAGCGTATTACTTCTTATTCCTATTTGTCTTAAAGGTTTCACATGAAAATTTAAAAGACCGTACCAGGTGAAACCCCACTGCCTGCTTGCCTGCTTCCCACAGCCCTGAGGATGAACCCCACAACCTTCCCACCCCCGCCCCTGGGACCTCCTCCTGGGCAGCTGTCCCTCTTGCTCACTTCTTGCTGCAGATTCTCGGCACACCAAACTCTTTCTGGAACCCTCACTCTTCACACAGACACACAATTCTCCTGACTGGCTTGACTCCCACTTATTACTCAAGCCTCAGTGTAAATGTCACTTTCTCAACGAGGCCTTTGGGGACCCCCACCACATCACTCGGGACTTTCCCTTCAAGCAGCTTACCACGGTTGATAACTGCCCACCTAGACACATGCTTGTTGTGTGTGCAACTATTCTCCCCTGCTGATCCGTAAGCCGGGTGAGTCCACGGCCTGTGTCTGACCCACAGCAAGTGTGCGATAATAAATCATAATTGAAGGAACAGTTTTGGAGGTCAAGTGTACAGCAGACCAGACCTGGAGGCACAGCCAGGCAGTGGGGGATTGAATCTCACTGCCAGTGAGAGACGGAGGTTTTTCTGGAAAATAGAAGCCTGTTGGAGCCACCCTCACCTTTAGGCCCCGGTAGGGAAGAGGGGCACAGGTGTCTGGGGTGGCCCCTTTGGTGGGATGGTCTGTCCAATAGAAGGGGCTCTGCAGTGGGGGTGGGGTTGAGTTCTTCATCAGGCAGGGACCAGGCGTCGGGAATGCAGCAAAAGTCGTACCTGTAGGTTGGAGCAGTGGCCCTTGGGTCCTCCAACCACCAGCTCCTGCCACCTTGGCCATGACCAGAAGGCCTGCCTGGACATTCTCGGGAACTTGCTCTCTAAGTGTGCTAACCTGCAGGCTGAGTGGCTGGGAGGGAGAAGTGGGGTGCAGAGCTGGAGGTATGAGCCAGTTCACCCCTCGCTGCTCAGAGCCCTTCTGGAACCCAGAGTCACCTGTGTGTCTAGGCTCTGGATGGACCTGAAATCAAGGACCCAGGTCCTGGCTCCAGCTTACCCTATGACCCAGTTTCTCCTCCCAATAGGACTGACTTGACAGAACCTGGCACATAGTAGGGCTTGATAAATGTTTATTAAGTGGAAGAAACATGTGATATGACAATATTTCTTCAAGGCAGGAAAGCATGGTGTCTAACAAATGTGTTCTGGTATTGACTGCCCAGGGCCAGATCCCGTCTCTACCACTTAGGAGCTGTGTGACCACGGGCAAGTTGCTGAACCTGTCTGTGCCTTGGTTTTTCTGACTTAGAAAGTGGAGATGATAATAGTAACTTCCCCTGAGGTCATGGAGAGGATGGCAGGAATGGACCTGTGGAAAGCACTCAGAACAGTGCCCTCACAGAGGAAGTGTGTGCTAAATACTCCATGTGAATTTTGCAATGTCACATGATTGGCCTGTGAAGGTGGGATTAGGTATGCAGTGGGGTTTCAGTGTACAGAAGAAGGTGTGGGTAACAGTGTCAATTGAACACCCACTGTGTGGCCTGCACCTTTATGACAATTGACAACCTGCGTTTGGCCTTCGCGACCACCCCTGCAGGGAGACATTGCTGTGCGCCTTCCCAGCTGAAAGCACTGAGGTTCAGAGAGGTGAAGAGGCCTGCGGGAGCTCGGCAGGACCAAGCCCGCATCCAGCCCAGCTCCGGGAGACTCTGAGGCCACGACTCTTACTCACCTGCTCCCTAGTGCTGGGGTTGGAACAGACTGGGCAGGGCCATGTGATGGCTGCCAGGTGGGCCTGGGTGCCACATCTGAAATTCAGGGGAGAACAACAGCTTTGGGAGTGCTTTGGACCATGTATCAATTACTTACTCTGTGCCAGGCACGTGGTACACATGCATGGTCCCATTTATTCCTCATTACAACCTTATGAGCTAAGGGCTATGATTCGCCCCACCTAAAGATGAGAAGCGCAGGGACCAGAGAGGTTAAGTAACTTGCCCAAGGTCACACAGGTGGAAAGTGGTACAGAGGCTCTGTGGTTGAAGCCGCTGCAATGGGAGGGGGAAGATGTGGGCTCTGAACTTTCATGAAGAGGTCGGAGTCAGACCTTGCAGGGTCCAAGGAGCAGGACAGGAGCCCGCAGAGGGCTGTGGGCAGGAGGGGACACCCTGCCACAATTTCCCCTGTGCCTAGATCCACCCTCAGCTCCCTTTTACCCTTTGAGAAGCACAGTTCAGCTGCCTGGTCCTTGAGCCCTTTCCCTCCCCTGCGAAGCCCCATTTATTAGAGCTAAAAGGACCCCCATCCTCAAACCAGGAAGTCAGGCCTGAAAGGCATCCTTCAGAGCTGGAGGAGGGGACAGGTTTTGGGAAATGGGACAGTGGTGTGAATTCCTTCCACTTCCCCAGGGAAACCTTCCCACGCTCTAGAACCCCTCCTGGGTGCTCTGAGTTGCTCCCCAACCCCACCCCACCCCTGTGCCTGCTCCCTATGGTAGAAGAGTCAGCTTCCCGCTCCAGACTCAAGAGGAGCTCAGGGATGGGGGCAGGGTGAGCAGACTCAGGAGCACCCTCTGGATCACCTGCCTTATTTCAGACTCTGTGCCGGGTGCCTTGTTTCACTACATCTTCCCAACTCTCCTGCCAGGGACCAATGATGGCACCCAATTTTGCAGATGGACAGAAGGAGCGCCTGGATGGAACAGTTAGTGGTGGAGCCAGGACTGGAAGCTGGGTTTCCTGACTCCCAGTCCAGTGTGCTTCTGTCATCATTATCTTCATCTTCTTTACCTTATCATCATCATCATCACCATCATCACCATCACCACCATCACCACCATCACCACCACCATCACCATCATCACCATCATCACCATCACCTCTACATTTTACCTGCGATGGCTGTTGAACTCCAGCCGATGTATTCTATTAGAGTGGTTATCCCGTTTGCCTCAACAGCGGCCTGGTGAGGTGGATAACATTATCATCATCTCCATTTGGCAGATGAGAAAACTGAGGTCCAAAGAGGACATACTAGCTGGTGACAGAGCTGAGATTGAGAACCAGGTCTTCCCACCCCAAACGCGAGGGTTCGACTGGCACATTGCTCTCCTAGAGTGGGAAAGAAGTCAAGGGGAGCAGACAGACAGTGAGGGCCACGGGCTCAGAGGAGGCAGGGCTGGCAGCTGGCGATGCAGCAGGGAAGGCTTTGGAGAATGGCGGGGGCCCGGGCTGGGCTTGGGGGGCTGGGAAGAGGCACAAAGGGACCCAGCTGAACAGGGCATTGTGGGAGATGGAGGGAGCCTGAGGCCAGAGGCTGGGGACCAGGGTGCGTCAGGGACCTGGAGGCAGCCAGAACTGAACCAGAATCCCAGCTTTGCCACTTCTGCTGTGTGAACTCCCCCATCCACGTCCCTACTCCCCCAACCACCCCACCCCTGGCCTGTGATTCTTCAACTGGGAAGAGGAATAATAACACTGCCTGTGCTGTGGTAGGTGCCTAATAAATACTTGTTAAATAAACACAGGGTTGCAGTGGTGGCTCAGTGACCTAGACCAGGCAGTTCTAGAGGGTCCGTTCCCTGGGAGCAGCCGCAGAGATGATTCAGCAGGGCCCCACAGCTGAGCCGTGTGACCTTCGGCAAGTCACTTCACCTCCCCTGTTGCCCCACCCAATAACAATGAGACGTGTAAGGCCCTATAGGCCGGCTGAGTGCCCCCTCTCTCCTGCCCTCTCGAGGGCTGAGCATGGGCCGAGCCTGCCCTGGGTCTCAGGACTGCAGCTGCTGCTGTCTGGGGCTGGAAGGCCTGCGTAAGGTGCCCCTGCAGCTACCACCGTGTCTCCCATGGGTGGCAAGGGTGCACACAGGGAGGTTTTCCTAAGTTGCTGGAACCCACGGGGGCTGCTGCCACTCTGTCTGCTTTTCTTTTGCAAAGGGAGTTGTGGGCAAGGATGGGGCATTCAGTGTCATCAAATCAGAGGGAAAATGTAAGAAGCGGGGTCTCCTTCCTGCCTCTACTAGACCCCTGGCAGGAAGGGTATCCAACCCTCCATAGCTCCTCAGGAAGGGGCAGGAGACTGGTGACACCAGCGAGTTGACAGCCCTGCTGGTCACCTTCACTATCTCCCTGAGGCTCAAGGGTCCTTGGCAGCTGCTGACTCACCGTGCCACATCCCTGCTCTCTGCCTCAGTTTCCCTAGGTGTCCAGTGAAGTCTGAACTAGGGGCTCCAGATTTTGGACATTCACAGCACAGTAAAAAAAAAATTTTTTTTTAATTCAGTAACTGACACAGCATCATCAATCCTTCACTTTGCAAAGAAAGGACATTAAGTTTTTAAAAAGCAACTCCCATCCCCATCATTTCCCAAAAGAAAACGTTTACTATGAGAGGAGTCCTAGGATGCAAACTTAGGATAAAGGACATCGACTGGAGGAAGAACCCAGGACCGTCGGGGAAGGACTTGCTCGAGGTCACCCACTAAGGCAGTAAGAGGGGCCCCGACCCCCAGCGCCGCCTCCGTCCCCATCGCAGCTCCCTGCCTTCCACAGAAGTGTGGTTTATTGTAGACACGATACAGGCCCCTAAACTACCAGGATGCACTCTCTCCCTCTTTTAATAAAATATCTATATTCAGGGAAGGATAGTGCTGAATTGTCTCCCCTCTTCTGCCATCTGTACGCCTTCTCTTTCACACTTTTCCCTCGGGCCCTTATGCCTTCGCCAGGAAGCCCCATGTGACAAACAGGGAAGGAAAACCTGGTCCTCTCCTGGTAGTTGTCACATGAGGGCACAAGGCCAAGTTTCATACTTCTCACTTTTTGGTCGGGCATGGTGCGGGCAGCCCACACGCTGGCAGGTGGGTCCCTCGCTTCTGCCACAGAGTTTGTGGTGACAGGTGCATTTGCTTATTTGAGCAGGTCACTGCAGACGAGGGGCTTTTGGGGGCCAGGCCACACATGGGCTCCTCCATGGTGGAGGGTGCGGGGTCTGGGAGAGCACCTGTGTCTGGGGCAGCTTTTCCCACGGCCCAGGAGTGCGCATTTCTGAGCTCCGCCCAAGTCAGCACAGGTTAAGGGCAGGTACAGGGCCCAGCACAGAACAGGGGCTCAGAAATGTGGCTGCGACCAGAAAAGGAAGCACAGGGGTTGGGGATAAGCTGTGACCCCACTGGGCTGCGATATGGAGGACGATGCCAGGGGCTGGGGTGATGGAAGGGCAGGGCTGGATGGTGAGGACTGAGGTTGGGGGTGCGAGTGGGGGGGTTGGGAGTGTAGGGCTAGGGGTATGTGGAGCCTCGGGGCCAACCCTGGGGCTTGGGGCTTGGCTGAGACTGCTGTCACTTCCACTCACAAATGCTGGTGAGGGGAGGACCAACAGCCTGTCGCCGTGGGGGTGGTCTCCCTCCCCCCCTCACCCCCAGGGCCCTCCTAGAGAGTGGGAACCCCATGAAGAGCCCTCTCCTGCAGCACAAGATAAACACCCCCAAGTCACAGACAGTCCCTTTGGGCAGAGAACCGGGTTCCCCTGGCCTTGGGCCGGCCCCTCATCCTCTCTGGATCTGTTCCTCAGCCATCAAAGGCCAGGTCACCACACTTGTCCCCTTTGCCTGTCTCCTGGAAACCTATAGCCTATGGGTTCCGGGGTCTGCTGGGACCAGGCCGATGAAGCCCTTTCTTCCCCTAGCCCCAACCCCCGCAGTCCTCTCTTCCCAGGGCACCTTGATCTTCTTCCAGGAGCTCGGGTTCAGGGCTGGCCCACCCTGCCTCAACCTGAGATGCTTAGCAAGTCCGTCCCAGCTCTGGACTTCTTTGACCTCAGATGTGGAATGAGTGGTCATCCATTGCTTCCCGGTCTGGTTCCTTCCGTGGTGCTGATGCAGGCCTTCAGGACCATGGGCAGAGCTGAGATGGCTTTTTAGCGAAGGAGGACCTCCTGAAAACTCTTTCTAGACTAGAATGTGCACCTGACACCTGGCTGTTGAGACGCTGGGGGAAGTGGCGGGGAGAGCCTGAGAGGCCCGGGTAAAGTTACGACCCCTTAAGGGCCAGCATCACATGCCCACATTAACCTGTTAGGTCTTCAGACTGATAGGTCTCACTGACCCCATTTTCCAGATGAGGAAACTGAGGTTCAGGGCAATGAAGTAACTTGTACAAGTTACATGGTAGATCTCAGACTTTCATCCAGGACTGTGGGACCCAGGGAGCTTCTCTGAAGGAGGGAGGGAGCAGAGTCAGGGTGGGGTGACCGTGGGGGAGGAGGGGAGCAGGGCTCACTCTCCCTGGGCTGAGAGAGGGCGTTTCTCCCTGGAAGAGGCAGACTCTGAAGCTGTTGATCTCTAAATTACAGCGTTGGCGCGCACCGGTTGCTGCGGCAACCGAGTTGTCCTGAACCCGGGAAGTGTATAAACATTGCCACAGATGCACAATTAGATCAGGAAGAAGAATAGAACAGAAAATAGAAACTTCCAGCCTTATATAATTCTGGGCCAAAATGTTACCAGGAACCTAGGCCCAGGCCGGCCCTGCCAGCCTCTGGGGCCCTGAACAGCACCATCTCTCTCCTGGGGCCCTCGTGGAAGGGACGTTTGGAGGGAGGGTCCTTGGGCCCAGCTGATGTACCCGCCACCCGGTGGGGTGAGGGGCTGCCTCCACTGAAACAGCTGGGGATGCTGACAGTGGAATCCTGCCTCTTACCAGTTTCCTCCTGCTCCTGGGAGGTGGGAAGGAAGGCAGGAGGGCGACTGGTTCTAACTGAGCAGTATTATCTCCTTGGGTCCTATGAGGCAGGGTTTTGACCCCCATTTTGCAGATGAAGGAACTGAGGCTCAGAGAGGTGTAATGCGTTGTCTGAAGGTGACACGGCTAGGCAGTTGGTGTGTCAGCCTCCCCTACTCCAGGTCTCCACACCATAAACTCATCGATGTTGACAGCACGTGGGGGCTTAAGAGTTAGATACACTTGGATTTGAACCCACTTAGCAGCTGTGTGGCCTTAGGCAGGTCAGTTCCCCTCTCTGAGCCCCTGTTCCCTCACCTGTGACATGGGACTCATGATGCCTACACAGTAGCCAAAGCTCAGGGCTTGACCACCGTCTTGACCGTCATTGGTGTCATCACTCAGCACTGCTCCCAACAAGTTTGGGGACAGAACAGGAACATAGGTGGGGCTGCAGGTCCCAGCATTATCCAGTAGGACTTTCTGCAATGATGGAAATGTCCCACATCAGCTCTGGAAGCCATTAGCCACGAGCACTTAAACTTGAAATGTGGCTAGTGCAACTAGGGAACCGAGTTACATTTGCATTTCATTTTAAGTGAATGTAAAGAGCCACGTGTGGCCAATGGCTGCCATATTGGACAGCATAGGAGAACATCCAGCCCCAGAAAGACCCAAGAAGGCAGAGGCTGAACCCAGGCAGGCAAGTGGGGGCCAGGGCATTTACAACTCCCTCTGCTCAGGGCAAGTGGGACAAATGGTGGAAGGGTGGAGCCAAGATGGTCATCAGGAAACTCACGGAACAGCAGGCAAAGGAGTGTTGGAGGACAGCAGCATGAGGGGGCTGGGACTAGGACCTGGATCCTGGTGGCCTCAGCCTGGCAGACCCCAATTCCAGAGCTGGGCTGGCTGTGGAGGCACTGGCTCAGGCGACAACACTCCCTCCCTGTCATCAGGACCACCTTCACTGTCCCATTCTGAGGAGGTGTTGGGGTGCTAGTCCAGGCTCTTCCCCTCCTGAGAGTCTTTGGGTAGGAGCCTTGCCACTCCAGCCTGGGTTCCCCCGGGCCCTCAGAGAGGCTGCCCCCACGGCAGCCACTTGCTCCCCAGCATCTCACGTCTGGCTTCTTTCCCCCAGGCCCTGCGTCTTCCCAGGTGACTACGCCGGCTTCAGGACATGCACGGGCACAGCCGAAACGGGCAGGCCCACGTGCCCCGGCGGAAACGCCGCAACCGCTTCGTCAAGAAGAACGGCCAATGCAACGTCTACTTCGCCAACCTGAGCAACAAGTCGCAGCGCTACATGGCGGACATCTTCACCACCTGCGTGGACACGCGCTGGCGCTACATGCTCATGATCTTTTCCGCGGCCTTCCTCGTCTCCTGGCTCTTTTTTGGCCTCCTCTTCTGGTGCATCGCCTTCTTCCACGGTGACCTGGAGGCTGGCCCAGCGGTGGCCACGGCGGGGGCCCCGGCGGGCAGCAGTGGAGCAGCTCCGGCGAGCCCCAAGCCGTGCATCATGCACGTGAACGGCTTCCTGGGCGCCTTCCTCTTCTCGGTGGAGACGCAGACGACCATCGGCTACGGGTTCCGGTGCGTGACGGAGGAGTGCCCACTGGCGGTCATCGCCGTGGTGGTCCAGTCCATCGTGGGCTGCGTCATCGACTCCTTCATGATTGGCACTATCATGGCCAAGATGGCACGGCCCAAGAAGCGGGCGCAGACGCTGCTGTTCAGCCACCACGCGGTCATCTCGGTGCGTGACGGCAAGCTCTGCCTGATGTGGCGAGTGGGCAACCTGCGCAAGAGCCACATCGTGGAGGCCCATGTGCGGGCGCAGCTCATCAAGCCCTACATGACCCAGGAGGGCGAGTACCTGCCGCTGGACCAGCGGGACCTCAACGTGGGCTATGACATCGGCCTGGACCGCATCTTCCTGGTGTCGCCCATCATCATCGTCCACGAGATTGACGAGGACAGCCCGCTCTACGGCATGGGCAAGGAGGAGCTGGAGGCTGAGGACTTCGAGATTGTGGTCATCCTCGAGGGCATGGTGGAGGCCACCGCCATGACCACCCAGGCCCGCAGCTCCTACCTGGCCAGCGAGATCCTGTGGGGCCACCGCTTCGAGCCCGTGGTCTTTGAGGAGAAGAGCCACTACAAGGTGGACTACTCACGCTTCCACAAGACCTACGAGGTGGCCGGCACGCCCTGCTGCTCCGCCCGGGAACTGCAGGAGAGCAAGATCACCGTGCTGCCCGCCCCGCCGCCGCCGCCCAGTGCCTTCTGCTACGAGAACGAGCTGGCCCTCATGAGCCAAGAGGAAGAGGAGATGGAGGAGGAAGCGGCAGCGGCCGCAGCGGCCGTGGCTGCCGGCCTGGGCCTGGAGGCGGGCTCCAAGGAGGAGGCGGGCATCATCCGCATGCTGGAGTTTGGCAGCCACCTGGATCTGGAACGCATGCAAGCCACGCTCCCGCTGGACAACATCTCCTATCGCAGGGAGTCGGCCATCTGACCTCCAGGCCCCGCCCTCATCACCTCCCACAAGAGCCTCTGCCGGGGGTGGGCTATCAGGACACCCCCTCCACACTCAGGACAGAGCTGACCCTGGCTCCACAGACCTCCTGGAAGGAGGTGGGGGCTTCAAAGATGGGGGACCCCTTCCTACTGACTCCAGAGCCCAGGCCTGGGAAGGGCCCAGGAGACCCTTGGCGCTATCAGCCTGGGTTCCCCAGCGCCTACCTGTTGGCGGCTCAGGGACCCCAAACCCACTACCTTTTCCCCTCAGACCCTTCAAGGACGTGCCCTTTTGTTCTCAGAACCTTGGGGAAGGCGACTGGACTGCTGGGGGGTGGGCATCATGGGGTTCTGGGGTGGGCAGGGGGTTAGTTTGGCGGGAGGGAGGGGATGCGTTTTTTGTTTGTTTGGTTTTTTTTTTTTTTGCATGACTGTGGCCTGTTGCTCATGACTTTCTTTTGTAAATATATATAAATGGAGACAGATGGAGGCACCCGATCCACCGTCTGCCATTTGTACCTGCAGGACAAGGAGATGCAGACCCTCTGTGTGCACCCCTCCCGCTCCCTGCCCGTCAAGCCAGCCCCTTCCCCTGCCCAGCTGGCTGGTCCCTTGAGGCCCTCAAGGCCAGCCATCTTGGCCCCTGGACGATGTTGGGTTTGGGTGCAGAGGTGGGACCCCAAGGAGCAGGACAAGCGCCATCCCTCCCTGTGGTCCCTCTGGCCCCCAGGCCCAGCCCAAACTGACAATGGAGTTTGTAACTATATATTTTTAATAAAGTATATGGTCCATTGGGGTAGGCTGGTTGAAGATGGAGAGTTGAGAAGAGAGAGAGAGAGAGACCAACATGATGTGAGTGTGTCTGCATGTGGTATGCGTGTGGTACATATGTGTTGGGCTGTGTGTGTGTGTGGGGGGGGGTGTGTCTCTTTCTGAGACACTGACCCCTGGAGGGAGCTTTGTCACCTGCCATTACCCTTCCTGGGATCCAGTGGGAAGGATCTTGAGTGAACCTCAGAGGTTTGAGTGGGTCTGAGTCAGAGCTTTGCTACTTTCTAGGTGTGGCTGTCAGCAGGTTGCCCATCAGCTTGGCCTCAGTTTCATCATCTGTAAAATGAGATGAACCGTACCTGCCTCCCAAAAGATGATGGACAGAAAAGCCCAGTGTGGATGTCAGCCAGCCCTTGTATAACTCAGGGAAAGTGGGAAGGGCCCACCTGGTTTAAACCACTCCCCCCCACACACGCACACACACATGCACCTGTGGACACTGGGCTGGACTGATCAAGCTGGCCTCAGGACGGTGTGGTGGGAAGGGCTCTGGGGGCAGTTTGGAACCTGGTCATAGTTAGACTTGGTCTCTGCCTTGCTGTGGGACCTTGGATAAGTCCCTTCTTGTCTCTGAACTTCAGTTAGCCTGTGCTGTATAACAAGCCACCCCAAAATTTAGACAACACGGGTTTATTCTTTCTTAAGATTCTGTGGGTGGTCTGGGTGGTTCCTTGTCTCGTTTCTTCTGAGCTTACTCCAGCAGCTCTGCTCAGCTGGAATGTCAGCTTAGCTGTAAGGTCCAAGATGGCCTCACCCACATGTCATGCAGTTGGTCTGGCTGTTGGCCAGGGGGCCTCAGTTCTCCTCTAGGGGCCTCTCTTCCTTCAATAGGCTACACCAAATTTCTTCATGGTGTCTTGGGCAGCAACCTCTAAGAGGGTATAGGCAGAAGCTGCAAGGTCTCTTGAGCCTAGCCTTGAACTTGTATAACATCACTTCCATTGCATTCTATTGGCCAATCCGAGTCACAAGGCCAGCCCAGATTCAAAGGGTGGGAAACTAGGTTCCACCTTTTGGGAACATGCTCAAGTCACAATGCAAAGGACGTAGGCCCCGGGGTGGAACTGTGCCCATAATTTGGTAATCTATCACAGAATCTTGGAGTTTGAGGGTTTGTTCCAGCTCTAACTCTATTCTACATGTCAACCGTGTATCCAACATTCAGTGTATAAGGAAGCAGAAGGCACCCTCCTCTTTCCCAAGAATCTTCTATGCAAAGCTGCCAGCTACCTCAGGAAACACAGGGAACCAGCAGCCAAACTCACTTACTGTGAAGTGCTGTGGGCTGCTTTGTGAATGACCACATTTCACCAGCACTGGCAACACAGCTGCCATTTGGATAAAATTGTGCATCCCATGTGCTTTCACAGTTTAATTAAAGAACCTGAGTCCTCCTTCCTCGAGATAGAGGCTACCTAGGATCCAAGTCCCCCTAAAATAACTCAACATAATGTCTCATTTACATAACACCTCTCATATCCTTTAGTTCACTGAACTTCTACAAACCCCAAGAGATAGGTGGGACAAGGATAGACTTAGCCTCAGATAAAGAAATGGAGGCCCAGAACTGAAGGGCTGGCGTGAACCAAGGTGAGGACTGTCAGAAGCCGAGGGGCTTGCTTCTCCGTCACTACCATCTTCCTGCAGGCAAGGGCTAAATGAGGGGGGAGGGGCTGCCTCCTTTCCTCCCCTGCCTCCATCCAGGTCTTCCAGGGGCTACAGGGGCTACTCGGCAAGACAAAAGCTCAACTGTCCAGATGCCTATACTCTCAGAAGAGCCCCTGATGCCCTTCCGCCAGGTGAGAACTCCCCAGGGTCTCACCCCCAACCCCACGTGCTCATCAGTGATTCCCTCCACCCAGCCTTACAGGCCCCGGGAGGACCTCACCAAGTCTCATGCTCTCCTGCCTGCTTCATTCTCTGATGCTTTAGCACCCTGGGTATCAGTGGTAACTAAAGGGGACCTCAGGCTCAGGCACCCTTAGCCTCAGAAACTTCAACATGGAACACATCTTAGAGGTTGCCCAGCCCTCCACCCAAGAGGGCAAGGGGATAAAGAGGTACACACAGGGCCCACCCTAAGAGGGCCTCCCATCCAGAGTGATGTGGGGGCACTCTGAGGTCCCTCCCAAACACTTTCATCACCATCACCAGTTTCCCTCTTGCTCAGACACTAGTGACAGTGACTCCAATAGGAGGGCCTGTCTCTGTTAACACGTGAGGGTGACCTGGGGGATACAGGAGAGGCAAGTTTGGACAAGAACCCAAAGCAAGGACTTTCTGGGCTGCTAAAGTGGACTGCCAGTGTGGGCACTGGGGGTGGGCACAGGAAGGGCACAGAGTACAGGGCCATAGGGGTGTGGAGGGGTGAGCACACAGCTGCAGGGGGGCTGGGAGGTTCCACAGCAAACTCCTGCTCGCTGTGCTCTGCACTGACTCACCTTCCGCTCCCACCTGTTCCCCTTCCACAGCCCTCCCACCTGCCTTCCCCCACCCCTGCTCACAGGCAGCTGCTCTGATCGCCTTCGCTTCACTTTAGGCTCCTGGCAGCGCTGAAAGAAGGGGATTACTGCCTCTGGGGGTGTAAGAACCTTAGACATCGCGGAGCTTGGAATCATGGAAATAGGCCGACTGAGGGGGTCTTAGAGCCCTCCCTCACCTCACCCCATCCTCCCTGCCCTGCCTTCTCTCTTCCCCCGTCAGTCACAGCCCCGGGCAGTGGTGGGCAGCAGTGAGGGAAGGAAGGGGGTAACATGTAAGAGAGAGGGAAGAAAGGGGTGCAGTAGAGGGAGTAAGAGGGCTTGGTCTAATGAAGCTGCAAACTTCACCCTTATCTTGCAGAAAATCCCACCAAGGCATAGTGCTTGGAGGTTCACCTTTGCTTCCTTCCCGCCAACTTCTGAAAACCTTATTTTCCCTATGAACTCAAATTGCTGAAAGAAACATAGAAAAGAACCTAGAAGGCGTTCAGCTCAGCTGTTTCACCTGGTCAACCTCGCCCCTTCTCTTTGTGAGTCCTTAGTGAGATGGCACGGCTGTGATGGGGCCCTTCTTCCTATGTCTGGGTTTTCTCACTGTAGCTTTTTTCTGGGTTCTGACTTCTCTTGGTATTGATATTTTTCCATTTTTAATGACAACATAATGTTC